CAACAGTCTCCAGATTACACATAGAAACTCATGTCTCTTACATGTCAGTGCTGTCGTCCTCTTTGCTGATGTATTCCTCCAGGATACTGGTGTCAATGTTTGTTGGCTCCAAAGAGCTGTTAATATCATGACCTGCCAGGGAAATAGAGGGAGAGAGAGAGACAGAAAGTGAGAGAGGAGGATGAGTATCGTGTTCCTACGCACCGTTTCTACAGTGATGATAAAATAATAGTTTCACAACATCTCTGATGGCTTCATGATTCATGTGGCTTGTTGCAACACTTCTGATCAGTTGTTTGCTTGTTTAATACCCAGATTGATGTTCAAACTGGGGATCACAGATGAGGTCAATGAAAACATAAATGTCTTGCAGGTTATAGACACAACATGAGCTAGAGGGTCACTTTCAAAGAAAATCATTTTCTTTAATTCTTCATCCACAAAGAAGCTCTTCTCTCTTTTCCAATCCTTGCCGCTCGCATCCTCCCCCCTTCTGCACTTCTTTACCAAATCTCTCCAAATCTGCACCGCATGACCCGTCTGCGATCACTCTGTTTGCAACACCTGCAAAACGTCACTCTGACCCGGGCCGATTGACCCTGCTCGCTTAAGCCAAATAAATGCTCAATCTATGTTTCTCTTTATGCAGTTCACCAGTGTTATTTCATCAAAAAAGTGCACATTCTTGTGTTAAAAATTAAACAAAAATTATGAATATTTGTATGAATATGAACCCATATGAATGTTATTTAACTTTAAAAAAAGTCTTATGTATTTTAAAATTATTCTTGTAAAAAAAAAAGAATAATATAACTTGCAAATACATAAAACATTAAATAAAAGTTATTTTATCATTAGGGCCAATATAACATTATAAAACATTAAAATAATAAAACCAATTTATTTTCTAAAATAAAAAAATTATGTTCTAATGGTCTAAAAATTAAGTAAAATGTGAGTCCTGATTTGTCACACCACAGGACTATAGTATAAAAACAACTAAAAGAACCGATGTCAAGTTATATATGTGTTCCCTTACACAATCATATAACTGATAACCTAAAATCTTGATGTTAAAAAATAAAGTTCATTTCCATGTATTCAGTCACCGAAGTGCAAGTTTCAACAACAAATACAGAATTACACAAAGAAAGCAAGTTAACCCTCTGATGCTCTTCCTTTATGAGTCACGTCCTGGAAAAATGAAACTTCATCCATCCCAGTAAAACCAATGCAATTTATTTTTGTTCTATAATATTTATTCTTTTTAATTTAGTATATTGAGACAATTTGATTGAATTTATTGATATTTATGCAATATTTATGGACAATTTTTTCCAATGGAAATATATATATTTTTTTCTATATATATATATTATTTTTTTTTAATTATTAATGCAGTATTTTTGTTTAATATAGAGTCTAGGCCTTCAGAAAAAAAAAAAAATTTTGAAGAAAATTAGCACCATCTGGTTACAGTATAGAGAAAAAGCGTAGAATCATGGTGTAACCACTAGATGGCATGTACAGCTCTCTATGGAGAGGCATGTGAATTCCCCAGCTGTTTATGAACACATTTTTTTTTTTTTTTGGTGGATTTGAATATATAATTGAAACAATCTTAAAAACTAATTCTTAATAAAAAATTGTAAAAAAAAAAAAAAAATTGTGAATTTTTGTGTTTTGTCAATTTCCAAAGACCAAAATCGTGACTAATTTTTTTACGACCACTTAGCATGCTCGGATCATGAACTCAATTTTAGCCATACCAAATGCCAAAAAAGTCACCAAGTATAATAACCTTCCGATGAAGCTGTGATTTTTTTAATAATTCAAAACATAAAATTATTCCCGAGGACCATCAGAGGGTTAAAGGTATAGCGGAGGATGGAGCAGGTGGAGGTATAGTCAGTATGAAGAGTCCCCCACTACACCCCTGATCTCTCTCTCTCTCTCTCTCTCTCTCTTTGATAGATTAGGCCACTAACGAAGCCGGAATGTGAAGAATTTGTGTGTTAGTGTTGGGAAAACTCTCTGGTCCATCAGCCTCCCACAGCCTGAGAGGGATCACCTCTCGCCTCCGTGGATGACCCAAACACAACATCACACTGAAAACCAACCCAATCCCGACTCCTGGTTTCCAACAACTTTTCATTGTGACCAAGAACATCGACACCTGATGGATCATTTCTGTAGATTCTCAAAAGAACGTGCTTTACATAACCGATGTAATGTTTGGAGTGCTGCGACTCGGGTCTCCGCTCGGACAGTTTTATGAGTGTGCCAGCAGGGCAAATAGGAACGGAGAGGGATGATTTTACTAAATAAGATCCAGATGTTTCCATCCTCCTGCTGTAAATCTGCCCGGCCAGCGCTGATAACGGCTGCGAGATTGACTGACGGGAACGAGAGAGGGGGAGAAGAGGGAGAGAGCCATGTTGAAAAAGAGAGAATGAGATGATTTTAACAAACCTATGATTAACGTTTTAGACATTTATGATGTTCGGAAATGTGTATGCGTGTGCACATGCTCTGTGAAGATTACAAAAAACATGCCACTATTTTCCGTTACACTGTGAAATATTCGTCACATTCAATTAAAATCACAAGCTGCATATGTGTTGACATTGGTTCAGACATATACTCGTTTTAAATCTTGTAAACACCACTTAATCAACTTAAAAATAATCTCAATACGCATATGTTGGCTGATCAAGAAGTATTTGGCATGATTCTGAACTAAAGCATTTGCCATCGCTGAAAGTCTCCCTCGAGATCTCATTAATCACAGTCAGCAATATGTCATACATCCCCTCCTCCCTGTCTCCCTTATATCTCTCGCCCTCTATCTCTCTTTACCTCCCTCTGCAACGTACACACACACACACATGCCCTGTTTCTCTACATCTCCTGGTCATTTTCTATGTGAAACCGATCATTGTATGCGTATGGCAAGCCGTTTTGACTTTTAATCATTCGCAGGATATGAATTCTTGATATCAACATTTCAATTTTCACTAGTTAAAATAATAGTAATTGATATCAGGAATTGGATTACTTCTAGTAACAATGGCCATTTTTGATATCAGGAATTACATTTCAACTAGTAAAAATTTTCATTCTTGATATCAACAATTCCATTTTAACTTGTAAAAACTATAATTATTGATATTAACAGTTAAATTTCAACTAGTAAAAATGATAATTCTTGATATTAACGATTATATCCCGGGAATGGCAATAGGCAAGCCGTTTTTACTTTTAATCATTCGCAGGATATGAATTCTTGATATCAACAACTACATTTTCACTAGTTAAAATGATAATTCTTGAATTTGAACTAGTAAAAATTATAATTGCTGATATCTGTAATTGTAGTTTCACTAGTGAAATGTCACCATAGGCTGCCATTTCAAAACCAATTGTTCATATCAAGAATTGATTTCTTACTAGTTGAAATACCAATTTCACATATCAGAAATACAATTATTACCAGTAAAAAAACTTTATTTTTGATATCAAGAATTCATTTGTTACTACTGTAAATTGAAATGTTTATTCTTGATATCCACAATTGAATGGCAACTAGTAACAATGTTCATTTTTGATATCAATAATTCAATTTTTTACTAGTGACAATGTTCATTTCTGATATCATGAATGTGATTGTTACTATAAGAAAGCCATTTTAGATATCAGAAATACATTTTCAGATATCAAAAATGAAAATTTGTACTAGTACCGAATGAATTGTTGATATCAAGAATAGACATTTCAACTAGTGACAATTTAATTATTGATATCAGGAATTCACATTTTTTACTAGTAACAATGAAATTATTGATATCAAAAATGATATTTCTACTAGTAAAACATCCATTCTTGATATCAACAATTCATTTTGAATGGCAGCCTATGGTGACATTTCACTAGTGAAAATATAAAAAAATGTAATTGTTGATGTCAAGAATTCATATCCTGGAAATGAATAAAAGCTAAAACGGCTTGCCATAATGCAAGTTCTTATGCATGTTAATCATTAAGTCCTAATTCACACCAGTGTAAAGTATGATAGAGCGAAGTCCACAACATTATCAAATGGTAAACACTACCCAGAATCCCCTGGGTTCCTTAAAAAGACAAAAACACACACACACAGCATCACAGTGATCAATACAGCATTCATTTGAGTATCCACACAGTTAGAGAGGAAAACATTTGTCTTAGTTAAACATGATGAGAGAGCTGTAAATTCACAATCGGTACCAGACAAAACACACACAGATATTGTCAATCTAACAAAAGTAAGGTTTCTATTGGACAGTGTTTCAGCAATCAAGCCGTCAATGTGTGGGCCAACCGCTAACATGATGCTATTGAGTTTTGAGTGTTTTAACCATTGCTAGGTGGCCGCTCACTGGCTTAAAGGATCCCACCCCCAAATATCTATGATATTAAATGGTCTGTTAGTCAAAAATCACAAGTCAAATCACTCCTTCATGTCTTCAGCACAAATAATGAAGAGCGAGTTACATGCTAAAGGGTTAGGAGTTTGTTCTTTCAGCAAGCAACACTAATAATCTCATAATATCTATTGATTTCCACAGAAATACATTCATATATACCACGCATGCACGCACACATAGAGGCTACTAAACAAATGCATGAGGTCTGGCAATGTGAGTACCGGTAATAAGAAAAGACAAGAGTTTACTAAAAGATAAACAGGGTGTGAGAGACAGAAAAAGAGAGACGGTACCTGCTCGAAGCCACAGCATTTTGTTTTAGGATAGACACAAGCTACAAAACTGAAGATGTGACCCAGTACGTCTCTCATATCCGTTCAAACAACATACACCTTTCCATCTCGGAGCTCAGCTGGCGGGTACAGGGTTACGTGAATGTGTGTGTGTGTGTGTGTGTGTGTTGTAATGCAGGATTAGGTCTCAGTCATGAGACAGAGCTGTACCAGGCCACCACACACAGTTCTCGTCGCCCACCAGCACTGAACGCACCGGCCGACCTGAGCTGCTTACCTACACTTCACCAACACCGGAGAGAGAGGTGAAGAGCAGAGGCAAAGCAAACGTCAGGTAACAATAAGCAATTCAATGCATGATACATTTTCGGAGGGGCATCAACATGCATCAACATTGTCCCAATTTTAACCCCAGCGCCCCAGTTTAATCCCCTCTAACATGCCGAGTCACTAGCCAGATTATCAGATCAGAGTTTAAACGTCCCATTTTCAAGAAATGAAAAGATCTTAGCGCTGGTGTCAGTGGCTGAAGCTCATGGAAAAAGAAATACGATTTTATCCGTGTGTGGATATATAATGAGTTGTCCTTGAGAGCTCCACAAAAACAACAACGATTCATGATTCATGAGCAAATGACTCTTATGAACTTTTGATTCGTTCAGAAAGATCACACCGGCTGCATCTGAAATCTGACATTCGGTAGGCGAAAAACAGTATGTGACTAAAGTATGTCCGGAAAAAAGTGCCCGGATGACCTACACTTACGGTGAAGTAAATACTACAGAAAAAACAATGTAATTTACATGAAAAAAGTTAGTTCAGGCAAAAAAAAAGTAAATTCTATAGTAGAACTCAATTCAATCGTGTAGAAATGAAAGTGTAAATATAAACATTAAGTAAAAATACTCAACTTTTCTGATACTGGTGTTCCCATCATGCACTGGGCCATGAATAATTAATAAGGTTGATTTTTCACTGTTTTCCAGCTGTATTTACACTATTTTATCATTACTTTTGTTGTTAGGATTAGTAACTTGCCATTTTGTGACATTTGGAGTTCATTTTCTACTTAAAATGACACATTCAAGCACAAAAACGATCTATCAAATGTTACCGTCATTGTGTATTGTCTACCAAGTATTGAGGTCTGTGTTCACACACACTCTGTCAAAAGTGAAGACATGATGAAACACACTGCAAGTATTGATTTTTTAAACATTTCTGAGTAAATCATATACTTAAAAAGTGTGGTCTAATTCAATGTTATATTGTTTTAGTGAAATGTTGTACTTCGAGAATAAGATATTACTTAATCTTTAATTAGCTAAATAAAAATTGCTTAATTTCTTATGTTACTTTCACTTAATTTAGTTAAGTATAGTTTACTTGCAGTAATTATATGTGTAATATAATATCAGTGCAAAAACTTGCCTTGAAAAAATTAAGTCAATTTTACTTATTGTTTTTTACAGTGATACTCCCTGACCTGAGATTCTGAAGAGCGTATATGATGGACACTTTACTATCCCATGAGGCCACGGGAGAGGATTTGGGAATAGTGATGCAACTGACGCTGGTAGGTCACATGGTAATGACTTTTTTTAGCGATCATGAGGTAATTGCTTATTCAAAATAAGAGAGTATGCAATTTCGGACCAAGCCAAACTCAAAGTTTGAATCAATCTGATCGATCTTGTACTGAATGAGGTAAGGTTAAAAAAATCAACATCTGACTCACTTAAACTGCAAGTTACTTTCATTACTTTCCCTAACAGAAATATATAAATATTAGATAAATTACTAAAAAATAAAAAAAACAACGAATAACGTGGGAATCGGATCACGGTCACCTGAAACGTGGAAAGTGTGTAATTTTTGGTTTGTTGTAATGGAACGGGCATGTGAATGTTACAGGCCTGGCTGCTCAAACACAATGCATTCCAGTGACCGCAATACACTGTTACATGAGAGAGACCACGCGCAACGGCCAAACCTTTCCCTCAAACATCAAACATCAGCCCCAGGAACCATCTGTACCCACACACAGATCCATGACTTGCTGACATCGGGCTAAACGTGACCTAACCTGCCTGAATATTCTCACAAACGTCAAGAAGTGCATGACATCCCACAGGAAAGAGAAATCACAAATTAGATTTATTTGACTCTTATCTTTTGAATCATTAAATATTACATAATAGTGAAATAATTTCAATACATTTTAACGAGTAATGTTAATAAAAATTGGAAAAAAAACATTCATTTCATTTTGCGATGACAGTGGTACACATTTCAACTGTGACGAAACCCGTTTGTCCGTTTAGGGCCACCGTAGAAACACGATGGCGCATTTCATTGTAAGTGGACCCGCGGTGTGTGTAGAAAGAAATGGCTCATTCTAAGGTAATATAAACATAACGCTTTATTATGTAAGGTCTTATTACACCACTGAAAACATAGTTATGTCAGAGCCCGTATAACGGAGAGCCTTGGCACTTCCTATTAGCCCCGTTGTGGATCATCCTGGTTGCAGTTCCATTAGAATTGCACTGGGGGTGATCGCGAGCGAGAGCAGAATGAATGGGAGTCTATGAGGCTAAACGGCTAAAAGTGTCTCTTTCACCTGCTTGTCGTTAATTAACATAGATTTTATTGTTGATTCCGCAAGTTCAATATAGATTATAGGCCAAAAGTCGAATGAACGAGTACTTATGTCCTTTTGATTTCTTACAGGTTAGGCCGTTGTTGGCCGGATCGCGCTAGCATTCTGCTATTGTGTGACGTCATCACAGTTTTGAACGGATTTTTAGAACAGATAAGTGAACTTAAAAATGCAATTTTCAGCTGAGTGTATTATCTTAGCCCTCCCTTTTGAATGCAACTTTCAAATTACTTGACAAAAAATGACATCCTGAGAAAAGTGGATTTTGGGGTGAAACCCCATTGACTCCCATTCATTCTGCACTCGACCGCGAGCGCCCCCGCATGGACAGAGACGCGTTACTAGAGCCCGACCGGTGAATGATTTTGAAGGCCGATACCGATACAAATATTTGTTGGTTTTAAAATCCGATATTCCGATATATCGTCCGATATTATTATTATTTTTATTTCAGAAACGCAAAACAAAATATTAACAGATTTCCCTAACATTAGTTATTTATTTATGAGTTTTAAAATAATATGAAATTCAGATATGATAATGCATTTATGAAAAAGAAAATTCGTTTGATAAAAGTCACATTTACAGAACTGATAATGCATTTTGGATTGTCACAACAGAATGGAGGAACATCAAAATATATTAAAGTTCTGATAAATAAAATAATAATTAGTCCCTACATTGGCTTATAGTAATAAGCTACCTAATAATTACAATGTCAGCTTGCCTATCCCTTTACCTGCACTTTTTGACAACACTCATGACATGGTTGATGCGTGATTCGTCCGTTTTTTATTTTATTTTTTAAATATTCATTTATCGGCAATTATAACTGCCGATACCGATATTTTAGAAAATGCCTAATATCGGCCGATAATATCGGTCTGGCTCTACGTGTTACTGCAGCCAGTCCAGAAACCGGAAGTAACCAGCCAGTGCCAATTCTCTTCAATTAGACATTCTCTGGTTATGTATATGATTTTGTCATTTTTGCCTCCTAAATATTACACAATACACCTTTAAAGTAAAACTTTGCTGGCAGCCATCGCCTTGGGTGGCAAAGAGGTGATTTTCGTGTTATGGATCTCACGGATGGGTTGCGGTCCAAAACATCAACTCCTACGCTGGTGTTTCGACCAATCAGCTCTGAGCGTTTAATGTGTGCTAGTGTACCAAAACTGATACATGTGCATGTTGTGTGTGTGCGTGTGTTTGTATGACCTGTGCCCTGCCCTTATCTCACCCCACCCACAGCATGTATGAGTGTGTGTGTGCATCCATCTGTGTGTGTCTATGTCTGTTATCTCTCTCCCTCGCCCTGTCTGCACACTGTCACACTAATGGAGTCGGAATGAGGCAGCGATAGCGAAAAAGAGACGCGCGAGAGAAAGAAACATTACTCGCACCTCATTCTGTTTTTTAACAGTCTTGTAGGTATGCCAGGAATGATCCAGTGCATTAGAGAGAGGGGGCAAGCGTACCCTCTATAAGCAGCTTACGGCTACACTCAATCACGCTTATATACCACAAGGGGTTTCGGGGCGAGAGATGTTTAGAAAAATATCCTCTCCTCATTTCAGAACCAAAGGAATAGAAGCCATCAACCGTTTCCCAGAATCCCTTTCAACACCTTCAATCGACGAGCCATCCTCGCGAATACTGAAAACACTGAAGACGTTTATCAGGGCTGTTTGTTTACTTTGTTTCCTCTCAAATGACTGTATTCGGCAGCTTGAGACAAGTGAGACAGTGTCTCAAACTGTGCTCAGATTTGCCAAGATATCAAAGGATGTGCTCACAAAAAAAAAAAAAAACATTTAGTCCTGTTCCGCTTAGCATTCACATTGGCATTTTAACACCGAACCTAAAGGCATAGAGATATGTTCATTTCACAACCTGCTTGGGCACGTATATTTTGCGACGAACATCCAAAACAATGCTGTGTTCTGGGCTAAATGCGCTTTTTTGTATATGAGTTGCTACATATGATGGTATTTTGACCAGCTGGGAACTCGTGAAGAGCTTATAATATGTGTAAAGGGGTCAAAACACCGTCAGGAATCCCTCCGTCACACACTAACACAGATCTGCTGTGATCCTGTACTGATATGTGATGGGAAATAACATCGCGACTATGGTATCCATTCTGTCCTTTTAAGGGAGTAGTTCATAAAAACTTTTGCTGATAATTTACTCACCCCCGTGTCATCCAAGATGTCCATGTCTTTCTTTCTTCTGTCGAAAAAAAATAAGGTTTTTTGTGGATTTTCTCCATATAATGGACTTCAATGGGGACCAAACGGTTCAAGGTCCAAATGAGAGTTTCAGTGCAGCTTCAAAGGGCTTTAAACGATTCCAGACGATGAATAAGGGTCTTATCAAGCGAAACGATCGCTCATTTAATAAATAAATAACAAAGTTTAAGTTTTATAAGCACAAATGCTCGCCTTGCTCTGTTCTGGTATGCGCGTTCGTGACTCTCCTGTTCATCAAAATGAACAAATCTTTTTTCGAGTCATGACTCGAAGGGTCCTCGATAAGGACTTATTCATCGTCTGGTGTCGTTTAAAGCCCTTTGAACAGTTTGCACTGAAACTCTCGTTTGGACCCCATTGAAGTCCATTATATGGAGAAAATCCTGGAATGTTTTCATCAAAAACCTTAATTTCTTTTCGACTGAAGAAAGAAAGACATGGACATCTTGGATGACACGGGGGCGAGTAAATCATCAGAAAAAGTTCTCATAAAATTCGCCTAAGACTTAAAGATCTGAAATGTGCCGATTTCTCCTAGGAATTGTCTGAGAAACATCCAAGACAAAGTTGATGTTTGAGTGAAGCTCTATTACATTGTTTGAATTTGGATAGAGCGACCTCTGAGCAATGAAATGTTCCTCTTGGGCAGCTGAGGGTCAAATCAGACAAACAGCTCAATCTGCTCTTCTTTTGTGCTTTGTTGTGTTGCTGTACTCCACAATGGATGTTCATTTAAGACACCCCCCTCCCGCTTCACTAAACACACAAACAGAGAACAAACACACGGAGCATTCATTGGGAATTGTGAACGTTGAGCACAATCAAAAACAGCGACTCAATACACAGTCAAATAATAGAAAAACTTCGACTGATATTGAAGTTAACAAACCATAAACAGACTCCTGAAGAAAAACTGTGAATTTGTAATATATTTACAAAAAAATATAAGTGTCTCCACACCACAATTCTTCCATAATTCGCATCGCACACACACTTTTATCTCTGAGTACTAGTGTGTCTCTGTCTGAACATCTCCAGCATTTTCTGCCTTACTCCCCAAATGAAGAATGTAAACATGTGAAATTCTCGTTAAAGAGCAGTTCTTGACGGCCATGAACTCCCGAGCCCAAAGAAGTCAACAGTGTTTACAGTGAAACACTGTCATATATACAAACCGTTACACCTGCTCTGAGAACACACTCATGTGCTACAAATTATGGTTGGAAAATCCCTCCAAAATAAATCGTTCGGCTTAGAACCCGCCGTAGTAAAAAACGTCGGCTTTTATCTGTCAGCGAAACGAAATGACCACTCTGAGGGGACAAATGAAGTTAAAGGAGTAGTTCACTTTAAAAAAAAGCTTTTGCTGATAATTTACTCACCCCCATGTCATCCAAGATGATGTCTTTCTTTCTTCAGTCGAAAAGAAATGAAGGTTTTTGATGAAAACATTCCAGGATTTTCTCCATATAATGGACTTCAATGGGGACCAAACGGTTCAAGGTCCAAATGAGAGTTTCAGTGCAGCTTCAAAGGGCTTTAAACGACACCAGACGATGAATAAGGGTCTTATCAAGCGAAACGATCGCTCATTTAAAAAAAAAAAGTTTAATAACAAAATTTGTAAAGCTCACATGCTCGCCTTGCTCTGTTCTGTGA